GGTATACTCTGAATTTAGTTGACTACCGGCTTGCCGGGGCAGTCCATCAATAACTTCAGTCCCTTACGTCTATTTCTGCTATCTAGGTATATGTTCTCATCGTTATCGATGACAATTTCCTTACCCTCCCCTTTAGTAGCAGTGAACCCTAAGGTAGGGTAAGCTCTTTTTGTTTTTTTCTTGTTGTTTTAACAGGCATCCCAAGTCTTCTTTCTAATTAAAAAAAACCTGCCATTTATAAAAACAACAGCAAATAAGGTGGAGCAAATGCCAAGTTACCCACCTGCTATTTGTAGATCACCTTCACTTTGGCTCCAATTCAAAGTCCACTGAAATAATCAAAGACAACCACCAACTTCAACAGCCTTTGAATCAGACCCTTTGACAAGACACTGCTTAAACTTTTCCCAATAATATAAAATCACTTATAGTCTCCATGGACACCTATATATGTGCAGTGAGGCTGCTCTGACATGCTGTACTTACAGCGCATCAGAGCAGACTTGTTTTACTGAGTCCACTAGAGCACGGTAATCACCAAGCTCCAGCAGACTCCAGCGTCACATGCATCAGCATCCCCACGCTGAAAAATGGCAGCAGGGGTGCTTTAACTAAAGCTTGAATGAGCTTCAGTTAAAGAACCCCTGCCACCATTTTTCAGCATGGGGACACTTATACACGGGACACTCCGGGCACTTTAATTAAAGCAGCTCCTCGAGCTGCTCTAATTAAAGCACCCTCCCCCTCCCAAAGTGCATGTATAAACATCCCTCGTTTCTAATTCACGTTCTATTTTCAATTCTACATTACATAATATACTTCTGCTTTAAATAATTAAGTAATGTCCTCGCCCTCATACTACAATTTTGTATTTGCCCACATCTCTCTGCTTTTTTTAATTCAAGGCACATCCCTTATCTATTAGGGTGTCCCTTATCTATTTCCAAACACAGCCTGATTCTCAGGACCTCACCACACTGACTACCCAACCTAATGTTTCTTCTTCAGTGCTTTCCAATTTAAAGACCCTGTTTATAGCCACCTGCATTTTCCAGGACAGATTCACTTTCATGCCCAGAATTCCACACTGTACACTTCTAATTCAGATAGTAGTAACTTCCCTAGAATCAAGTTAATTTCAGTCTCACCAATATCCAGAGTTTAAGTAAACAAGTAATTATCCCTAATGTCATCACCTCTCTCTAAAACACGTCGTCATATTTTCATACTAAATTACAAGGTAACAGCTTTAATAGGGCTGGATATCAAAGTACCTGAACAGCAACATTTTGCACAAAAACAAGCATTACTATTTGTTGCCTACTATAGCTACACAAAGACAGCAACAGCTGAACTGTAAAGCAATACTACATTTTTTATGGAATTCCATCCCACTGTAAAACCTCTTCGTTTTACACTGGGCAAAACTTTTGGATCTTTGTCATCCAGGCTTTAATTTATGTTTTAAAAATGTGGCATTTATTAGTTTAGCAGGAACTGCATATTTTAAGGTCCTATCTGTGCATTTAGATTTCAGTAACTTGCATAAGTTGTAAAGCATGATGCCTAAAATAAATAATAATGTATAAACTATTTCTACTGCCTTTACTTTTCCACGAGAACATCAGAATATTTGCAGTTTTCTTTTCTGGGACACACAAGCAGGAAAATTAAATAAAATGGTTTAATTGCTGCTCCTAATTTTTACCGGTGAAGGCAAAAGAAGATTTCAAACCCTGGAATGAATAAATAGTTTGGAGCACCATGGGACATATATTTTTGCAATCTCTCTTCCTACAAATGTACTTCAGCTTTTTAAAACTGTGGTGCCAAGTAACAAAGAAATATAATCAGGTGAGTTTATTAAGATTTACAAATCTCAAGTCTTTGGGCCAGTTTAACTTCAGAATTTATTTTAGAAATCAGAATACAGACATCAACACCCAAAGAATATGTCTTTCAGTTAACAAAAAAGAGAAACGGGGTATTAAGGATAGTATTTTCGAGCACAGGTACCTATGGTTACATATTTAAATACACCTGGCCTTACTTTCCAACTTGCCAGGCACTTACAACTACTACTCATTTCATTTAGGTTCTAAAAATGAGTTTACATGCTTAACTTTATGATCCCAACCTGCAAAATATTGCCTTGTGTGTCTTAGATAACACCAGGAAAAGAGCAGAAACAACTAAAATTTAAATCAGGAATCCCTACACCCACGTTTGAGAAAATTATTCTAGCATACATCCAGGAGGGCCCAGCAGGGGACTGCATGCTTAGGGGCAACCAACACGGGTTCATCAGTGGCAGGTCCTGTCAGACCAACCTGGTAGCCTTTTATGATCAGATCACCAGATCATTAGATGCAGGGGTAGCAGTGGACACAGTCTTCCTGGACTTCCGGAAGGCTTTTGACACCGTCTCTCTCTCACCCCATTCTCATTAAGCAACTGGGGGGCTGCGGTGTAGACACCCACACAGTCAAATGGGTCGCCAACTGGCTGGGGGGCCGCACCCAGAGGGGGG